GCCCTCAGCACAACCCTGGAGAGCCACTTCTGTCCAGAGAGGTTTCTGAGGCTGCGAGGAGGGGAAGGGCTTCTCCCGTCCCGAGGTTTATACAAGTCCTTCATGGACCCACTCCTCTGTCCCTGCTCCAGATGGGGCCAGAGCTGTGGGTTGTGCTTACAGAGACACGAGTGGCTGCCCATGGCGGGGGGGACCTGTCCAGAGGAGGGAGGACTCCCTGGCTGGGGGGTCCCGCGACCTCCTGAGGCAAGGACAAGGAGTCCCATCTCACCTCCCCTGCAGAGCCTGTGGGCCCTCCCTGGGGGTGCAGGGACCCTACACTGGGCACCCTGGTTCTCCGGATCTGGTGGACTGCTCTGCCCTCCACCACCTGTCCCACGCATGTCCCTCCCAGGCCACTCTCAGCCAAATCAGACTGTCCACCTGAGCTCAGGTCTGTCAGTGGCTGCCCCCCAACTCAGGGGGGTGTGGATGGAGGACAGAGGAGCCCCCGAGGCACAGCAGAGGATTGAGGAAGCTGTAGCTTGGGGTGGGGAGGGGGGTCAGGCATCAGGTAAGTCAGGGGCCACAGGGGCCAGTGGTTGGTCACAGCCTCCTGGGCCAGTCTGGCACCGTGCACAGAAGGCACAGCACGTCCTTCAGTGGAGAAGAGACCAGACTGTGCCCTCGGGTGAGCTGCCCACTGTCTAGTCCAGGAGGATCCACTCGCCACACCTGGCTGTCCCTGAGCTTCCTGCAGGACAGGGGCCTGCCGGGAGGGGAGGAGCTGGCGGACATGCCACCATCCAGGGCCACCTCCAGGTTGCAGGCCAGGATGCTGGACAGGAGGTCGTGTGGGGGGGGTGGCAGGGGAGGGGCTGTGCGGGACCCACCCTTCCTGTCACCCTGGGCCTCTTGCTCTTCTGCGATTCCCAAGGCAGCTCTGGGGGGAGTTTGGCCACTACCCTACACTGTCCCCCAAACCGTTATTCCTGAGCTGTAGGAGGCCAGAGGAGAGCCCATCTTTACCCGGAGCCCAGTGCCCAGGCCCCACCTGGGCCACAGTGGAAGTCACGGTTCCAGATGGCCTTTGGCACGCCCACAGTGTCGCCCACCACTCTACCTGGTCCCAGGACGTTCCTCATCACCCAGGGAAGCTGCTTCCGTTTGACTGTGAGTGTCCCCCCAAGGCCCATGGCAGCAGGCTTGGTCCCCAGGGTGGCTCCTTAGGGGGTCACTGTGGGCCTAAAGGTAGAGGGGCCTGTGGGCAATCCTGAGGTCACTAGGGACATGACCTTGAAGAGGATCTGGGGACCCCAGCCTCCTCCTCCTCCTCCTTTGCATCCTGACCATGAGGTGAGCACTTTGGCCTACGAAACACTCCCCACCATTGCTCATGGGCGACCTAACAGAGGCCTCAAAGTCATGGGCCCACCCCATCCTAGACTAGAACCTCTACAACCAAGAGCCAAAATAAACCTTTTCTCTTCATAAGTTAATTATCTCAGATATTTTGTTATAGTGATGGACCGCTGACTAATACAGGAACCCTGTGCTTAGCAAGCAGCAGTCTCCCTCCTCCTACTGGTGGGCAACAATTAATCTGCCTTCCATATCTATGGATCTCTCTGTTCTAGATACTTCATATGAATGAAATCATCCATCTGTGACTAGTTTCTTTCATTTAGCTTAATGCTGTTGAGATTCATCCACATTTAAGTCTCCCTACTTTATTCCTTTTCATGGCTAAACAGTATTCCATTATTACATACCAGATTTGTCTTTCCACTTATCCAGACATTGAGGTTCCTTCCAGCTTTTGGCTCTGATGAATACTGCGGCTATGAACACTCATGGACAAGTATTTTCTTTTTTCCAATTCTTTGGTCTAGGTACCATGGAGTGGAATTGCCGAGTCACAAAAGTAATTTTATATTTATATTTGAGGAACCACTGGACGGCTTTCCATTTGGGTTGCAGCACTCGACACTCCTACCAGGAATGTGCAGGGGGTTGATTCCCCATGTCCCCGCCGGCACTTGCCACCCTCTGTCTGGGTCTGCCCGTCACAGCAGGTGTGAAGTGGATCTCCTGGTGGTTTTAATTTGCATTCCCTAGTGACCAAGCAAGCCGGGGGTCTTTCCACGTTTGTTGGCCGCGACTCGGATGTGACCAGGCATCATAGTCACAGGTAACACGACGGGTTCGTTTTGACATGACCACACACAGCGTGGGATGGTTTGCTCCATTTAAGTCCCCCGTGCTTCCTCCTTCCTCCCTCTCTACCCTTCTGTCTTCTTTCCACTCACTTATTCCGTAGACACACATAAAGGTGGGTTCGCTGCAGTACGTTCACGTGTGTTCACAGCATGACTTTGCGCACCGCGTTCTGAAGTTCCTGCCTGTCTCCACCCTGCCTGCCCCCCCCCAGTCCCCTTCCACTCGTCTCCGGGTATTTTCAGGGGACCCACCACCCTTCCCCTTGCTCCCTTGCTTTGCTCTGGCTTTTGCACAGGAGGGAACCCATCCAGCCCTTGACTCTCTGAGGCCCACCTAGTCCACTCACATGATGTTCTCACCCTGAATCTGGAAGACGCAAGACTCCGCCAGAAGACACCTGATAAACAAGTTCAGCAGAGGACAGGATCCAAGGTCAACGTACACAGACCCATAGCTTTCCCAGGCTCCAGGGGTGATTCTGCTGAGAAAGGAATCAGAAAAACTGTCTGGCTCACAAGCAATCTCAAAAACAAACAAAAAAATCAAAAACAACTTAGGAATAAGTCTAATGAAGGAGGCGAAAGACCTCTACAGGGAAAACTATAGAACACTGAGGAAGGAATCGAAGAAGACCTCAGAGGATGGAAAGAGCTCCCATGTTCATGGACAGGGAGAACCAAGAGTGCTGTGCAGACTCAGTGCACTCCCCATCAAAGTAGAACTGGGAAGAGCAGTTCTGGAACTCATGTGGGAAAAATGAAAGACCTAGAAGAGCCAAAGCAACACTGAGCAAAAAGAGCAACGCTGGAGGCTCCCAAAGCAGATCTGAGAGTTTACTTCAGAGCCATAGTAACAGAGGCCACAGGGCACAGGCACCAAAACAGACGTGAAGACCAGTGGGACAGAACAGGAGACACAGAGACAGGCCCACATGGTCATCTGATACTCGACAAGGGGCCAAAAATAATATACACTGGAAGTAAAAAGAAACCGCCTTTTAACAAATGGAGTTGGAAAAGGTGGATATCCATATCTAGAAGGATGGAACCGGGTCCCTATCTCTCACCCTGCACAAAATTCAAATCAAAATGGATCCAAGACCTGGGAGTCAGGCCAGAAACTTTGCAACTGCTAGAAGGAAACACAGACTCAACACTCCAACGGATCGGCGGTGCAGCGCCCACGGGAGGAGAGCTTTGTCCGCCTCTGCTCTGACAGGGGCCCAACAGCAGAATGCATGGAGAGCTCCCAGAGCGAGGCTCCTTCTCCTGCTCCTCCTGGCCAATAAGGGAGTCACCCACACAGATCTCCATTCCCAGGACCAGGCACTGCCCACCGGACCCTGGGACACTGTGGTGGGGACAGGATTCCTCCGAGCAAGACAGGGTTTCCGCCTCTTCTCTCAGACTTTCCTGGGTGTAGAAGGCCAAAAGGTTTCAGAAAAGGTTAGCATCTCCACTGTACCAGGGAGAGCACCTCCAATGTCCCTCTAAGGGGAAAGGGGGACACATCTGCACCCACCACACCCATTTCCTCCACGACAAATAAGGTGGGCGAGGGGTTTCTTCCCCCTCTTCGCACACAGGAGGTTAGTGAATCCCACTCATCTTCTCGTCTGGAGGACACTTCCAAGAAAAGCAAAACAAAATCAACTTTACAGACAAGGAGGGTCTTTGTAGGACAAAAATTCACCATGATTTTTTCCTTCTCCGGAAACCTTTACGCCCTGACGCCATCAAACATCTCCATGGGCCATCAGATGATGGGGTCTCATAATCTATGGGACCATTAAATGCAGAAAGATCTGCAGAGAAGTGACACGGTGACTCTGCCCCTCCCCAGCCCTCGTGCCTCGGCGGCTCCGTGTGTTTGTCATCGCAGGTCAGACACCCACTTCCTCTTTGTCACTCTGCAATGTGACAAACGTCCCTGCACACGACTCGGTCTCATCAGTCTGTGAGCTTGAGGGTTGTCATCCTTTGTCCTGGAGAAGAGCCTGCAGGGGACAGGGGCACTGCACAAGATTTCCCTCCGGGTGGGAGGGGGCGTTGAGCAAGGAACTGTGGCCCCAGGAGAACAGGGGTCACGGTGGCTGCCCAGTGGCCTCCCTACACTGAGTTGGCTGTTAGAACAGAAGGGCCATTCCACACCCACCTCGTCCCTCCTGCAACTGCAAGCACCGTCTCCTACAGCCGCGGGGCACAGAGATCCTCCCCTGAACCCCCCAGTGCCTTGCTGGTCCTCCTCTTCTGTGGAACCCGGGGTTGTACTGGTCAGGAGTGGACCAAGGGGTCAGCCTGGGTACCCTCTCCTCCTCCTTGTGCCCCCACCTCAGCACCAGGAGAGCAG